TACAAGTACAAAATAGGAATTTTATGATTTTAATAAAAAACAAATATATAAGTGGAACAATTAAATTTATTTCAATTACACATATATATTTTAATTTTTAACAAACAATAAACAAAAGAACAAAAATGCGCAATTAATTAGCTCAATTTATAATAAATGTTCAAAAATTCCTCCATTTGCTTCAACACAAAGATGACATCGTTGAAACATTGATTGTCTCACACGCTCGAACACTGCAGGAATATTTTGAACCTGATATGCTGCAGCAGTAATTCGGGCTACCAATTCTGCTTCTGTTTCAATAGGTGTTTCATAAATGAGAGTTTTCATATGTCCCCATAAAAAAAGTCAAGCGAAGATAAATCTGGTGACCGCGGAGGCCATGCGATAGGACCTTTTCGGTCTATCCAGCGCTCATTAAATCTTTAGTCCAAGTAATTGCACACATTGAACATTTGAACATTGAACATTTGAAAATTTATTATAAATTGAGCTAATCAATTACGCATTTTTGTTCCGTTCTTTTGTTCATTGTTTGTTAAAGATTAAAATATATATGTGTAATTGAAATAAATTTAATTTTTCCACTTATATGTTTGTTTTTTGTTAAAATCATAAAATTCCTATTTTGTACCCTGTATTAAAATGAAGCGTCGTAGAGAAAAACATTATTAACAAAATATGTTTGTTTTTATGTCCTCTATTTTCCCTCAAAGTTTGTCGGTCTAATATTTTTACACCCTATATATATATATATATATATGTGTGTGTGTGTGTGTGTGTGTGTGTGTGTGTGTGTGTGTCTTAAAAATGGGAAGTCCTGAATATCTTTTTATAGTGAGGTTTTTCGATAAAACTTTCAGAACAGAAGTTGTAGGATTTCAAAAGTTGAATCTGATAATGACCTTGAAATTGACCTTAAGTTTGACCTTGAAGGCTATTTCAAGGTCAACTTTATTTTTTTTTTATGGAAAATGCATATTTTCATGACGGATTCGGAATCTACGCCAAAAACTGAGAAGCTTTTGTCTGAAACATTTTTTCAGAAAATGCTCCCTTTGACCTTAAAATGACCTTCAAACTCCCGGTTTTTCTTAAATATGGGAACAATGCCATCAGCGGTCGCGCAATAGCAGATGCTTTAACTTCGAAATGACCCCCGATGGTCATCCTGACCCAAGGTCAGGGTTCCCATTAAAAGAATATTAATTAAAATTAATATTAATTATATAAATTAATATTAATTAATTAAAAATAATAATTAATTAAAAAAATCCCATTAAAAATATGGGAACCTGTGAATATCTTTTTATAGTGAGGTTTTTCGATAAAACTTTCAAAACAAAAGTTGTAGGATTTCAAAAACTGAATTTGATAGTGACCTTAAAATTGACCTTGAAGATCATTTCGAGGTCAGCTTAATTTTTTTAAATGTATATACAGACTGTCCCGCGTAAGATGTACGAAAAGAAAAATATAAGTAGAACACATAAAAGTGAACAAAAATTGTAGAAGTCATTTTTCAAACAACCACGTAAAATTTCGAGATATTAATTAAAATAATTGGGCATATCAGAGCGTGGCGACGCGGCAGACGGGACATACGGCTCGTTGCGACCGGCGAAAAAAATGGACGATTGCTCGCGGGTCCATCTTATAGGTCAGAGAGGTGGGCCGTTTGGCACATGGAAATGTGCCCGTTTGGCACGGGTAGCTCCGTGTGTACGTCCGTATACGTGTGCGCTCGTTCATTTTCTTCGTTGGTCGTGGCGAGCCGTATGTCCCGCCTGCCGCGTCTCCGCGCTCTGATATGCTCAATTATTTTAATTAATATCTCGAAATTTTACGTAGTTGTTTGAAAAATGGCTTCAATTTTTGTTCACTTTTATCTATTCTACTTATGTTTTTCTTTTGGCACGTCTTACGCGGGACACCCTATATAATCATGTGTGTATATATTTTTGATATGTGTGTTTGTATTTTTTTTTTTCGGCTGAAGTGTTATGGCTCGTTTACTTTCGGAAGCTGACCGTCGATCGGCGGAACCAAACCCGTGATGAAATGCGGTGACCTCTGCTCCTTTATCTCAATCGGTGCATTATTATTTGTTTGCTCTGGTACACTGCAAAGATCATGAAAATATAAGTAATTTTTTTATTATATTGTTCACACACGATCGTATGAAAGTTCTTGCAATGCATACCCATAGAGGAGGGGAGAGGGAGAGAAAGAGGGAGAGAGAGGGGGACAGAGAGAGAGAGAGAGAGAGAGAGAGAGAGAGAGAGAGAACTCAAATATATTAACTAATTGGGTGCAAGTCAATATAAATTGGCTTTAATCGTATCGCGGAACAATAGAGATAGATAACTCCGCTTGAGCGCGGACAGCCTTAAATAAATTCAGTTAAAATTCGACTTAGCGAGACCGACCAACCAATCGAAGGACGTACCAGTTCAGTGGAATTACACGCGGCGTTCACGGCCGTACCAGTCCGTTACCACCCCCCGCAAATCGCAGTTTACCTATTCTGTTACATCGTCCCACTTTATTTTTTTCACGTCGATATCATAAATCGTCGGCCAATCGAACTTTCTCTCCCTCTGCCGTCTACCGCCCGCCATCCACTCGCACGTACTATATTATAGATTAAAAATACGATGATAGCTTGCACGCGGTCTCAAGCTCTACGAATTGACGTACTTGCGTAAATTGACAGTTTATTTTATTTTACTACTGATTGTATTATTTCGTATCATCATTATTTAGTTTATTTTATATTGTATATAATATTTTATAATATTATCTATATTTTTATGTATTGATATATCATCTAAGTAAAAGAAAAAAATATTATCGTTACATATATTATTATATAAAACGTTTTTTAGTTGTAAGTAAAGCCATGCGAATATGTTAACGTATCCTATACTCAGGATGATTGTCACGTATCTTTTATATAGTGAAAACAAAATAAATAGTTTCTGTTATGTTTTTTTAATGTTTATATATATATATGTATTATATATATATATATATATATAAATTTATATATATATATATATATATATATATATATATATATATATATATATATATATATATATATATATATGTATATATATATATATATATGTATATATATATATATATGTATATATATATAAATTTTGTGACTGGTCTATATTATTAAATTCTAAAAAAATGAAGTATTTAAAGTAAAAGATACACGCGCACACACACACATACACACACACACACACACACACACACACACACAGAGTATTCCAGACTCTCCTCCGCATATTTCGTGAGAATGTAGAACAAATTGAGATGAGCATAAAAGTTCTATGCTGTTCCGCAATGATAGTCAAGATATTAAGCGAGATATAGCGTGTCTATGTCTCGTAGCTGTGGGCGGAGGGACGCGGCGAGATACGATTCGCGAGTGTCACGGTCGCACGTCAGCCGAAGGCATCTTTCTTTCCGCTGCCGCTTTCTGTACGCTAATTTGTTGAGACAAAATAATTAATTTCTCAAAAACTATTGCGAATATCGCAAAACGGCACAGGACTTTCTTACCTCAATCCGTTCTACGTTGGGAACAAGGGTCATCATGGGTCATCATGGGATTTCGGGACACCCTGTATATATATATGCAGGGTGTTAGTTGAGTATGTTGCCATACTCAACAGAGCGATTCTTTGGTTTATTTGAAGTAAAAAAGTTCATATAAATGTGTCCTAAATGGCTTAGTTTCCGAAATACAGGTGAATGTTCGTAAATGTTTGATGAAACGGTAAATTGCGTTGAGATATCTTTTTACATAAATATGACTTGCTTCACGTGAGTTATCATTCGCACGACCGTAAACAAAGTGACAAAGTCAAAGACAAAATCATAAAATCGAAAATGGACTTCAGTTCTGATGTTGCTGCGGAAAGAATTTTTTATAAACTTTTTAGTACTTTAAGAAAATGCAGTACTAAGAAGTTAACTAAAAAATTCTAAAAAAATTTTCAGAGCTCTATAAAAAGAAAATAAACAATTTTTGTCTCTTACCATTTTTCGGTAAAATTGATAGAATTCGAGTAAAAAATTATTGAAACCAATAATTTTGTAGTTATTTCCGTAAATATCTTAGAAAATGGAGTTCGTACGAAAAATTCGTTCAAACAAAAGTTGTTAGTTTTTTTCACGAAGAATAAAATTCCGTAAGAAAAAAATTAATGTTTCTATTTAAAATGCAAAGTTGACTTTCGAATAACCTTCAGAATGAACTCCGAGGTCATAGTCAGGGTTACCTTCAGATGTCCCCTTCTAAACCCGACAACTTTTGTCTGAAACATTTTTTGAAAAAATTTCTCCTTTTTGAGATTTTTGCGTGTATTGAATAAAATGGCCCATCCACTTCCTCACACTTCCTCATCTTCAAACTTTTCGAGTAAACTCACATCTTCAAACTTGATCGGGTAAAGATCAAATGAGAGTTTGTAATACCCTGTACTATATATTTAATTAAAAAGAATATTGGTGAAATAGGTATTTGCCTACCGAGACAAATATGAAAAAAACTACCATTCCTTACTAATTTTTACCAGCTAAATGCAGCGGTGCTATTAGAATTACCCGGATGCACCGGGAACATCTTACATTTTGAAGTTAAAATTGTATTTCTCCAGATAATTCCCTTCGTTACAAATATTGCCAAATCTGTCGATATTGTGGGGAGAAATTACTATCTGCAAATGTATAAACCACTAACAATAAGTGTAAGATATTTTCAATATCGTTTAGATGACTGACTTCCGATATCTAAAATATCCAATACAATACATTTTAAAATAAAAATTCGTTACTTTTTTTATAAAACAAATGAGGAAACTTGAATATTTTTATAATTTTTTTTACATGTTTTCTGCTTTCCAAGGACACTTATGTCAAATCTTGAAAGCTTACACCCCAAATACTTCTACTCAAAATCCTTTAGCCCTTAAACTTCAAACGCTTAAACCCTAAATCCATGGATCTATAACTCTTAATCCTTTAAAGCTCAACGAGACATGGTATTCCATCTTTTTTCCTTCTTTTCTGTTCATAACTGCCATATTGGATCCGTTATTTTGAATTTCAAAATTCTGACCTCTAATTCGAATACAGTATGCTAAAAAATTTAGAGGTACCACAAGATTTAGACAAAGCCAGCGAAAAAAATAAGAGTTGAACTCTTTAACCGTGGAACGTCGAATCCTAAACTCTTAAGCTCTAAACCCTTAAACTCATAATCCTGAAACCAAAATGCTTCAACCTTAAATTCTTATATATATATACAGGGTGTCCCGCGTAAGACGTACAAAAAGAAAAATATAAATAGAACACATAAAAGTGAACAAAAATTGTATAGGTCATTTTTCAAGCAACCACGTCAAATTTCGAGATATTAATTAAAATAGTTGGACATATCAGAGCACGGCGACGCGGCAGGCGGGACATACGGCTCGCCGCGGCCGGCAAAGAAAATGGAAGAACGCACACGTACACGGACGCACACACGGAGCTACTCATTTCAGTATGCCAAACGGTCCACCTCTTTGGCCTATAAGATAGGCTCGCGAGCAATCGTCCATTTTTTCGCCGGCCGCGGCGAGCCGTATGTCCCGCCTGCTGTATCGCCGCACTCTGTTATGCCCAACTATTTTAATTAATATCTGGATATTTTACGTGGTTGTTTGAAAAATGACCTATACAATTTTTGTTTACTTTTATGTGTTCTACTTATATTTTTCTTTTCGTACGTCTTACGTGGGACACTCTGTGTATATATATATATATATATATATATATATATATATATATATATATATATATATA